ATATTTGGAAAGAGAATTCAGATTATAAGTGTGGTTAGTTAACAAGATGTCTCTGATATTTCTGAAAGCCCCATAACTTCTATCTTTGCACTGCACAAATAATAAAAAGCCATTTAAAAGACTTTTATCCTTACAAAAAACTGTAAGCTGAAAGCTTTCCTCAGCAGAGGTTATTAGACAAGTAAATATATTAATATTTCAAAGAACATAGAAATAAGTACTAACAGGATTCCTGCCAAGAGCAGAAAAATCACCTCCCTGAGTCAGTTGGGTTCATTGATAGCCTGATCAGTACACACAGCTATTGTTTTAGCTGGTTTTCCTTACTTTGGAGTGAAATAGGTTTTTTTTTCTCTCTCTGTGATAATTATTTTTGACAGTTTCACTATTTATATGTGAAACTGAGAAACTGTTAATTGAAATCAAAAAATGAGTCACCGTTTCCAGCAATCTTTTTTTTTTTTTTGCCAATGTTTTGATCTGTGTCAATCTGAGTTTAATTATTAAGGTTCCTTTAAGCAAGAGGCAAAACTGTACATGTGAATTTGGCCCCAAACAAACGCTGCACTCCTCGGACTAATGTCAGTTTGAGGATCCAAAGCATAGCTAAAATAGGGATGAAAATGTATTTAAAGAGCATGCACTAGAGACCTATGGTGAAAATAACTTGACTGAGCAAATACTTCTCTTTTTTTTTTTTATTTTTGAGAAGGATATGAGAAGTCTTTCAAGCCTTTCAGCAGCTACAATTAAGCATGATGTATGGTCTCTCACTAACGATGCTGCCAAAGTCAACGTCTATTGACTGCGAGGGGGAAATGGTTTGGAAAGGCAGCAGCATGTCGTAGGCAAAGGGCAGGTTCTGCATCCCAGAGCCAGCCACGTGTTCCTCTGGAGCCTGCTGTATAAATATGCATCTGCTCTCATAAACATCCTCAGCCATTCGGAAATTCCACTGTGATTTTATCTGCCGTGGACAAACCCGGCTCGGCAGAACGACGTGAAGTCACCAGCAGGCTCTGGGATAGCTGAAGAGCAAGGGAAGATTTTCCCATGTGTTTATTTGGCCTGGGGTGGATGTGTACATGAGAAGGAAGCAGGAAAGGAAGGAAAAAAAAAAGAAGCTTTATATATCCACAAAGGAAAAATGCTAAGCTAGAAAATTTTCATCCTGGGGGTGCGTGAAGTGGGTGAGAACTGTTGCAGAAACCTGTCTCAAGGAGGCATCTGCAGGGCAAGTTTAAAATGGCCCTACAGAAAGTGTGTCTAGTTAACACAAACAACAATTTGCTCTACCTAGGAATAAATTCATCATCCAGTCATAAATAAAACGGGATGAATCTATGGCAAAATGGTTTTTTAAAGAGGAAATTATTTGTCCAGAAGACAGAGCATGTATTGTGTGCCTGTGTCATCCCTGCAGTTGGGAGGGAAGCAGTTTTCCTGTGCCACAGTATGGTTTTGTTTTCTTTTTCCAAATCAGGATAGATCCAAGCCCTTTAAGAAACTGTTGAGAAAACAGGAGGCAGCCCCACTCCTGGATGCTTTTGCTGCTCTTGGAGGTGGAAGCACTCTTCCAGGGAGTGGGAAGCTCGGCCTCAAGCCCCTGTTAATCAAACAGAGCAGAAATTTGAACCTACCCCTTCCACTAAACTCTTGGCTGTTTCCAAAAGCAGCCAGATCCTCCAGCTTTGCCAAGACTTTCAAACTTCTTTTGATTTACAGGCCCCTGAGTTATTTTCTCTAACTCTTCCTTAAGTGGAGGAGCCTGCCAAAAAATGACTAGTTAAGCAAATCAGCGTTTTCTAAATCAACACAGAATAAAAAGAGAAACTCCCAAATGTCTTTTGCAGCCATTCCCAGTTTGCTGCTCCTCTGCAGTGCCCGTGTGGGCACCCATGTCCTGGCTTTCATACTCTGCTTCTGGACGTGTGCACTCACAAGCTCTGGAGTCTACACGGCCCTTGGGAGCTGGTTCAGAGGGAAACTGAGGCTGGGGCAGAGATAGAAACATAGAATGGTTTGGGTTGGAAGGGACTTTTAAAGGTCAACGCCCCTGCAGTGAGCAGGGACACCTTCAACTGGATCAGGCTGTTCAGAGCCCCATCCAGCTTGACTCAAAATGTTTCCAGGGATGGGGCTTCTACCACCTCTCTGGGTAACCTGGGCCAGTTTCACCACCCAGATGCCCAGAGGGTGCTTGGCAGAATCACACCCAACTTCTTGTCTAGCTTCTCCTGTAAAGGGCTTGCCCAGCTCCTCTAGGTGCTTGTTTCCTTGCTACATCATTCCCAGCATGAAGCGACACCTCTCTTGAGGAAAACTGAGTCAATCAGCCTTCATCCTACCCATGATGGACATGGACAACTCATCCATCACAGTCATCATTACATCAACCTCTCAAGCCTTTGGAACTTCTCTTATTTTCCTGTTCTCTCTAGATGCAGCAATACATTCAGGCCTGATTTCTTTGCCTGTCTTTGGACTGCTTTCCTCTTCATCCTTCCATGTCCTTTGTGCTTTTCTGGACATACTCCAAATTATCTGCATTAATCAAAATGGGGGGTCCCAAATCAGAGCCAGAATGCCAGCCAAAACTTCATCAATTCCAGGGGAGCAGCATAGCTACTCTACAGGTCTTTCTTACACACAATATTTCTGTTAATACCATCCCAGAACAACCCAGATTTTTTCTATTAAAGCAGCATCATACTGCTGACTTGGACTTATTCAGCTTTCACTCTGAGAACAAAAAGCCCTAAACTAAGGAAAGAAGTATATAAAATAATCCCCACCTAGAAACTAGACACTTCAACAAAGGATTATTTCACCAGGTCACTCCCACCAAATCCCTCTTAGGACAGCAATAACACAGCTGGAACAACCAGCTTATAGTTGTTAAAAGTGTTTAAATTAATTAAAAGACTAGCAAGGACATTTCATGTTTCCCAAAGGAATTTTGTAGCCCAGTGGATGTCAGATGAAAACCAGGATTTATATCCTCTTCACACAAGGGACAAATCCACTGCAAAAGGCTAAAGCCTAGAACTGAGGACAAAGTGCAAGTTTTCCATCACTGCTGTCTTGTATTGTCATTTTTTTTTGTGGTTTTAGTCAAACTATTGACCACCTATGGGAAATAAACTTTTAAAAAATGCTTTCTAAAAGCAGCTTAACACCCAGATTTCTGACTAAAAGACAGTTAACAGGGATTATACATGAAAACTGTGTGCAACAAAGACATTTTTTCTGTTTAAATGAATCCAGGAATCACTTGTGCTGATACAACGAGACCTTTGCTGTCCACCAAGTGGGTTGTAGAGCTGAAGAATATCTGTGAAACAGAACAGAGGAAAATCTTGGTGCCAATGAGTGAGAGGAACTGGAACATCAGATAGATCTTTCCTATCTCTTTTTCTCTGAAAAAAATGATAGCTGAGATGAAAGAGTTATTTTGGTAGTAGGACAGCCAGGTATGAAGAGCAGCTCCTGAGGGAGGACAAGCAGCTTCCAGTGAGCTGTCTCTTAGCAGGGGCAGACAAAAATGGATGTCTCAATAGGTAAAGAATGTTTTCATGCATGCTGTATGCAGCTCAATATGCATGTAAAGAATTTCATGTGTATTTGTGGCAACTTATACTATAAATATACAGCAATAAAACTTTGACACCATACCACCATATCACTCAGCACAGCTTCTGACCAATACACCCATTGAAGGTACTGGAAATGCTGCCTTGGGTCAAAAAGAAACTTCATACCATACACCCAGCAGGCTGTGCCTTTAGGGAAAACCAAAAAAATCATTAGTTTAGTGGAGTTTTTTCTGTTTAAAAGTCTATCTTATACCTCTGCCTTCCCCTCCCTTCCTCCCCCCATCTACCCATGAAATTATTTACTTACTTAATAGGAATTTAATTAACTAGTTAGCTACTAGTTGCTATAATTTTCTCCCATTGCACTGTTGAAGTCCTCATTAATTGTTTTTGCTATGTTGTTCCCCATTTCTGTCCTAGGTATTGCAACTTAAAACTATCATCTGCTTGCCCAGGGAGTGTTACAGAAAATTGAGTGGAGAACTTTAACCCCAACTAATTATTTTCAGAAGTTGCCACAAATCAGCCAACAAGTTGAGGCATTTGCAACCCACTATAGCCCTGCATTGTCTGTTTAAAATCTGAGCCCCAGAGGATTTCTGCTGTGCTCCCAGGCTCCCCACAGTGAGGAGCATCCCTCTTGGAGGCAGCTCCCCACCACAAAAAGTGCCACCAAGCTGGCTGCCCCGTGCTGAAAATCCTCTGTGCTCAGACAGTTATCACCAGAAAAGCCATTGAAACTGAAGTGGCTTGAGAAAATTCAAATATTTGGGGAAAAAAAAAAAGAACCAGAAGCTTCTCCAACAAGCTAACTCTTTACTAACTCTTGGTTAAGTTTGAAGTCCTCTCATCATCTTGAATCACAGCTAACTTGAGTCCTCTGAACGTTCACCACCAAGTTTTTTGGTTTACAAAGAAAAGCCACACATGCTGCAATGGTTCTGGAGTAAATAATAAAGAACAATATATTAAATACAATAACAGCTCAAAGAGGACACGAGGGCAACTCAGCAATTGCTTAATGAGTTCAAGGAGGAGACTTTTTACGTCCTCAAACGCACATAGTTCAGACTTCAATAGCTTTTGTACTCTAAGGGGGATTACAAACAAAAAAATAATTATAAAATCTATTATAAAATGGGAAAGGAAAGCTCCCCTGTTAGGAAGCAACACGGATCATCCCACAGGCAGAACTCATCACAGCACTTTTTACACACTAACACAAAAATCTCCACGCTCGTTACTGCAGGGGGACTTCACTTTACATAGATATCTCTCTAAAAATGATGCTCATTTCTGTGCAGTCACATCCAGCGTTGTTAAATAATCCTGAGCCCCTTGCCCAGCAGTGGCTGAGGGTGAGAGGCTGGGACCAGTGAGTGATGGGCTCTCTTTTCTCCCCAGCACACGGCTGTGCTGCCATTTGCTGTCCTGGAGATCCTGGCGATGCCGCATCGCTACCCGGCCAAGAGGAAGGGGCTGGTCCTCTTGGGGCTTGTTGCTTTTCTCTATATCAGCTGGTAAGAATTATGCACTTCAAAACGTTTTCTTCAAGTAATCTAGCTTGTAAAACAAGGCCAAATACTGTGCTTGGATCCCTTCACAGAATCCCGGGATGGTGGGGGTTGGAAGGGATCTCTGGAGTCACTCTGGAGGGTTGTGTCCAGGTGGGTTTGGGATCTCTCCAGAGCAGGAGGCTCCACAGCCTCTCTGGGCAGCTGCTCCAGGA